CTAGGTTAATGCCCCACATGGAGAAGGGTATTGTCGTGCTGACGAGAGTGTGATTTACTGTGGGCCTTCCCGGAGCCTTCTGAAAGTGTTGACAAGCATTGCACTTCCGAGCGAGGTCTGCACAATCCCGAGCCATGGTAGGCCAGAAGTAGCCCTGGATAATCAACCTTCGGGACATGGAGAAGGGTCCCTAATGCGATGAGCAGGTGCCACTGTGCACCTCCTCCATGGCGATCTCGGCCTCTTCCTCGTGGAGGCATCGGAGCAAAGTACCATTGTAGGATCGTTTGTAGAGTTTACCGTTCTCGAGGACGTAGCTTGGAGCCCTCAGCATGGTTAACTTTTTACGGCCCGAGTTCCTCTATTCTCGCGATCTTGGAGAGGTGTTATGGGGACTCATCCGAGAGCTTGGATAAGATGTCAGCTTCAGAATTTTTAGCCATCGGTATTTGAGTGATGGAGTGTGCCTCAAATACCTTGAGCAATTCCATGGCGGCCTCCCTGTATTGCTTCATTCTCCCCTCCTTTGCTTCATATTCGCCTGAGATCTGGCCGACCACTAGCTTGGAATCACACTTTACGTGGATCATCCTTGCCTTGAGGTTGGCTGCCAACCGAAGGCCAAAGAGGAGGGCTTCGTATTCCGCTTCGTTGTTGGAGACTTTGAAGGAGAAACGAATTGTGTAGTAGGCGTGGAAGCCTTCAGGTGTGATAAGGACCACACCCCTCCGCATGCTTTGGTTGCTGAGGACCCATCTGCGTAGAGGGTCCACCACTCGTCCCCTAGTGCTGAGGGCTCGTCCACCGTTGTTGATCTTTCCGTGCATTCCATCACGAAGTCGGCCAGGGTTTGGCCCTTTATGGCGGGCCTCGAACGGATGTCTATGTTGTACTGGTTTAGGAAGATAGTCCATTTTACCATTCTAGAGGAACTGGCAGGGCTCCACATCAATGGGCCGAGGGGTTGGTGAGTGAGGACTTGTACCGGATGGGATTGGAAATAATGGCCCAATTTTTTGACGGTGTAGAAGATAGCTAGCACCGTGTTTTCCACGGGGAAGTACCTGAGTTCTGCTTCCCGGAGGGTCTTGCTCACATAAAAGATGGCGTGTTGGATTTCGTCCTCCTCACGGATGAGGACTAAGCTGATTGCGGCGGGGTTGACGCCTAGGCAGAAATATAACGTTTCCCCTACCTTGGGCTTTGAGAGCACCGGAGGTGATTGGAGGTATTGTTTCAACTCTTCGAAGGCTACTTGGCACTCAGTAGTCCATTGGAAGCCGACGGTCTTTCTCATTATTTGGAAGAAGAGAAGGGAATTCTCCACTGATTTCGATAGAAAGCGATTAAGGTCCGCTAAATGGCCTATCAGCCTCTGAACCTCCTTCACGTTGCGTGGGGGCTCCATGTTGATGATGGCATGGATCTTCTCTCGATTGGCCTCGATACCTCTTCGACTCACCATGTAGCCTAAAATTTCCCCCCCTTGCACGTCGAAGGTGCACTTTTTTGGTTTCAGCCAAAGGTTGAACTTTTGCATGATGGCAAAAATCTCTCTCAATTCATCGACGTGACTCGTGGATTACTTGCTCTTGACGATCATGTCGTCGACGTATGCTTCCATCGCGGAGCTCGGTCTTGCTGACCTTCTTTGTTATCTGGAGGTAGCAGGCGCGTGAAAGTTTTTTGTCTCCCCTCGAGTAGGCGACGCCTCCGGAAGCTGGGAACTTGAGGCCGAGGTGCCTCATGGAGATTATAGCTTCCAAATCCTCTAGGGCGGGGCGGCCGAAGATAATGTTGTGAGCACAGTCGAGGTTGACGACGACGAACTCCACTTCAAGCTTGGCTTTATGGGAGCCGTCACCGAAGAGAACCGAGAGGGATATTACCCTTTCGAAATCAATGGTGTCCCCGGTGAAGCTAGACAGGGGGTCCGGATAGGCCGAAGGGATTTCCGTTTCAAATGCAGCTCCTTGAATGTGCTGAGGTACATCACGTTGACGGAGCTGTCGGTGTCAACGTAGGTTCTGTGGATGATGGTGTTGTTGATCTCACTCTGAATCACGAGTGTGTCTCTATGAGGGAGAGACCTTGGGGGAGATCAACGTTCGTGAACATTATGGGCTCCTCCCTTGACCTTTTGGAGGGGGGGCATCTGATTAACTTCCCCTACGTAAAGGGATTGTGTCCACTTCTTCCTTTGGCTCGCGGAGTCTGCTCCTGTGTTGTCACCGGTGATCACATGGATGCGACGCTTCTTCTCTTGAGGATGATGGTACCCCTCTTCCTCGCTGAGGTTCCCAATCTCCCGCTTCTTGCCATTCGGATCGTCGAGGGGAATGGTGTTCGGGTTGATCCAGGTGTTTGATTTCGGAGGGGCCCTTGGTGGGGGGAACCCCTGATGAATTGGGACATATGGCCCCTCTCTATCAATCTCTCGATAGCTGCCTTCAGCTGGTGGCAGTCATCGGTCTGATGTCCTGGGTGACGGTGGAAGCGGCAATAAGGTTCATTTGGATTGATGGCATACACCTTCTGAGGTCCCTGGAATCTCGCTCCTTTAGACCCCTCTCATCGGCGTAGTCCAGGATGAGGCTGACGGGGTGCGTCAGGGGGGTCGGAGGGTGTTCTAAGGGCATGTGTTGTGCCCAGGCCCTCAGATTGTTCTTGTAACCTCCCCCAGACTTAGCTTGTCCATGCCGGGGACAGTCACCAAAAGGAGCTTGCAACTTTGCCGGATGGGGCGGAGCCCCCGGATTCTGTTGGTTCTTGCCTTCTGGTTTCTGGAGCTGTTCAGGGTTTCGGCGATATTTGTCTACCTCCTCAGCTTCGGCGTACCTGTCTCCCCGTTGAAAGGCCCTTATGTAGTCGCAGGGTGGCTCGGTGATGAGGCTCCTCGAGAAGTTCCCGGAACGGAGGACCGTTTGCAAAAGAGTCATCGGGGTCCTATCGTCGGTGCCGTCGACTTTGTCCGTCTCCTGCCTCCCACGTTCCAAGAAATCCCGAAGGGTCTCCTCCTTCTGCTGTCTTGTTTTTAGCAAGTGGGAGAAATGCTTCTTTGACCGGCGCCTTCCCGTGAATTGCGTCAGGAAACGCTCCATGAGTTCTTGCCAAGAATCAATACTCCCTTCGGGCAGTCAGTTGAACCATTCGTACGCTGGTCCTTCCAATGTGGAGAGGAACCAACGGCACAAATACTCATCTGAAGCCCTCATCATCATCATGCTATTTTGGTACCTGCTATAGTGCTCCTGGGGGTCAATCTTCCCTTCATATGGCTTGATGGTCTGCCCTCGGTATTTACCTGGGATCTGAGTCGCCAATACCCTTGGGGTAAAAGGCGCCCTCGGGCAAAGTTGGATGACGGGTTCCCCGGAGCCCTCAGCAAGCTTCTTCTGCATTTCGTCCACCTTGGCCAACATGGCGGGATATTTGGGGTCCGCCTGTGAGGCGGAAGCCGTCGTTTGGGCCTGATAAGCCTCCATCTCGTCGAGTCGGCGCTGGAGGGTCTCAATAATATCATCCCTAGGATCCTTTGGCATCGCCTCCACCCCAAGTCATTGTACGCGGGCTGAGTGAGCCTGGTTGATCTGGTGCCTGACGTCATCAGCATGTAGCAGCCCTTTGCCCTTGTCCTGAGGGGGATGCCTCTTGTCTGCCCTCGAGACGGATCCTCCGCTCTCTTGAGGTCTTTGGAATACTTTACCACCGAGGCGGTCTTGGACCCCTCGAGAATCACGTGCTCCTCTGAGCCTGTTGAGGGCGGAGGTCCGGGGCTTATCTTTGTTCGTGCCGCGCTGGTCCCAGGACTGAACCTCCTGGGACACGGTGTCCTGAGCAACGACCCCTTCGTTATTCCTGATTCTTGGAACCAGGGGTACGAAGGGGGGCGGAAGTGGCAGGCATGGAACGACATTCTCCCCAACGTGGGCCTGAGGTGGTACCAAAGCCCCGAAGGCACCAGGGTTCTGGGTGAGAGTGTGGATGAAGGCAGAGAAAGTCGATTGTACGTCTATAGTTAGGACCGGATCGCTAATTTGGCTTTCACTCCGGTCCTTCCTACAGGCTTCGAGCCCGACACGAGCATCAGGAGCATTCCTCTGGAGCTGAAGGCGTAGATCAGCAGCGACCTGCTCCATTTCAGCGAGGGCCCCGCCTTCGGGAGCCTTGTTTGAGGCTTCAGCGGTGTTAACCTCACCGAGGTCTAGATTCTTTTCCTCTAGGGTCTTGGATTGACCTCGAGTTCTACCCATTCTGAGGGGGAAGGTTTCTTACTTGAGTGTTCGGCCTCTCAATCAAAGCACCAAATGATGGAAAGTGTAGCCAGGGGTAGCTTATTCGAGGGATATTATAATGAATATCGAGAGAGAGATCAGAACAATAAGTAAGAGAGAGAGTGTGACTGTGTGTTCAATATATCAATTGTGTCGATTACAATGGAAGAATGACTGCTATTTAGAGCAGCCATAAATGCTAGGTCTAATCAACTAGGGTACACGTGTCAAGCAACCAACGATGAAGGGTCAACTCAGCCAGGGTGGCATCGACATAGCATATGGTCGCATTCAATGCGGCGGTTTGAGTATGACATTTGTATTCAATGCGGCAATTCAGGTCATATGGAGGGGAGATCCTGTCGAGGAGAGCGCCTTCGATTGCACGTACTAGGGCCTTCATGTACCGAAGGCCATACATACCCGGGTCCCGGGGGCATCATGCCCCGAAGGCTGTAAATGTCGAAGGCTTGCATTTCAAGCCTTGTTCCACAGCGATGTTTCAGGACCAGGTTTAACCGTTTTCTGAATATAGAGCCTTCGGACGTGGGGCCAAAGGCACACCTTGAGTAGTATGGGCTGCCTGGAGTCTTGTTTGCCGTGTTTGGGCCAATTGGACCTGGTGAGCCTGATTGTAGAAGTGGAAATATGTGGGCCGAGGGTTCCTGGGCCATATACTCCGTCATACATATATCTTGTTGCAACATGAAGATGGAAAGGCAGGTGAGAACAAATCCTGTCGTTGGTGTTTTCAGTACAATTTACAACAATTTTTCTGAAAAACTAGTGTGATACATACATTTTGTTCATCTGCAAATACACTCACATGATAGTAAATAACCACGAGAACCGCAAGAGGATACTATATGCGCTTCGAAAAGGCGAGATGTGCATCTAATCATTGCATCCAGACAGAATATTTAATTAAGCACCTTCTGAATCTTCTGCTTGTTTCACTAGCTGCACGTAATTGTTAATGGCTATTCCTCAATAAGGAGAATTAGAAGTCCCATTATTACAGTTTAATATACAGCCTTTTCAGGTGCAAAAATCCAGCTACGATGCCCCAAAACAGAATCTCCACCATCACAAAAGCCAGGGTACCCCACTTCTCTGAAGGAAACAGTCCTTGCAGTAATCTCTCTGAGCTGTCAACCTGCATAACATGGAATATCAGGGTTGAACATACACTCGCAACGTAAAATATAAAAAACCATTTTTAATCTGATTTTAAAAAAAACAAGACTGGCTCTACTCTGACATTTGTATTTCTATATTTGTTTGATGTGGAATGCCATAGCAATTACAAAGAAGAGTAATTCTATGGAGACATCAAAACTATACATTTCAGGGGGATATTCATGTGGAATGTATTCACTTGAAGGATAAAAATTAAACACGTGACCATTACCAGATGAATTGTATGCTACATACAAATGTGTACACTGCATTGTCATTGCCAAGGCTCGGCTAGCCTTCTCAGCCTATATTTTGTTTACAAATTGACCCACCCACACCCAGTATATGTTCCATTAATAATATGTTTTTCAGGATTAGGGTTGAAGCAAAAAATTGTCAAAGAGAAATGCTGAAGAGTGATACAAATGAGGGATAGAGAGAGAGAATACTGTTATTCAGCAAAACTTTAACAGAAACGAGAAACCAACCAGATTGTATTCAGGCGAACGCCAATAGAGACCTTGGAGTGCTGCAGGAAAGAGATCGCAAGCAGCTAATGCATAGATGATAAGAGCATTCATTCCCATCCACTGAAATATAACCACAGGCTTCCTCAAACAAATGACATCCACCTGAAGCATGCAGTTAAACTTTGTTATTAATCTCATCAGCTAAGTTGTGTATTAAAACCCATATTCATGACCGGTGACCTAACTATACTGTTACCCTTATAATACAGAAATGGCGTTAAATGTCTGTACACTCACAACATAATATATGATGGTGAAAGCAATGCCTGAAGCTCCTGCTGTGATGAACATATAGCTCAATGTGTAGAGTGGTTTAGAAAGAGGAACCCCTGAAATAATGAATATATATCTACAGGCATTAATTAATCTTACACTAAATACAAATGCATGTTAAATACACACATGATTACCTATTACTACCAACAAAAACCCAATAATCAGTAGAGGGAAGGAGAATATGGACCAAAGTATCAGCCTTTGCATGTGACCCTACCAGAAGAACAAACATATGTGATGGAATGGTGTGCGACAAATTAATGTCAATATTTAACTTGGTTTAAAATCAACCAAAACACAGAAGAGTACATCTTACCTTCACTTTAACAAGAACGTGTCCATAATGCAATCCAACAAGACATGTTATGGCCGCCATCAAAGAACTGAAAACATTCAATTAAAAGCAATGCAGAAAAAAATGGATTGCACGCGAAGGATATAAAACTCAAATTTGAGTTGTTGAATAATTTGGCCAAAATGAAGCTTTCTAAGTCGCTACACCAGCCAAAAGGGATCAAAATGTATTCTTCTATATAAAAAAATTGTATCCTTGTATGGTAACACCAAATGAGTTAACAACAAATAAATCCATGGAGGGATAAAACTATAAAAGGAGCACAAAAGAAGTAATGGAAAATAATCTAGTAAATGGAGAGTGCAGATGAGGTTTATTAAGTAAATAAGAGAGCATATCTGACCTCAAAATACCCTCAGGATCAAATGGAGCAAGACACCATTCAGGCGCATTTTGAGGCAACGGTCCATAATCAGGAGAATTGATACTGCATTCCTACTAAGATAAACTGGATTAGCAAAAGTGTAATGACACGGGAGTCCCACAAAGAAAAAGCAGCAGTGCAGCACCAAAAGATGAATTGTTGAAAACCTTGGTTCTTCTATAGACAGGGCGTTGATAGAGATGATTTTCACCAAGGATAAGTCTATCAATGAAGCCAACCGCATTGCATGGAGGTTTCAGACTTCCTCGAACACTACAATGAACCTGGTAAGACATGTTAGGCTTGCAGAAATTCAATAATCATATCCTTTTTTTTCAAACACAGTATATTTGATAATCTGTTGAGCCTTGAACAAAATACAATATAATCTTATTTCTTAAGTCATAACCTAGCACCTCTCAAGTGTCAAAAGGTAGATAAATGATTTGCAATTTCACACAACTGCTTGAATTTTTCCTTTGTCACAGCATTTGCCAATTCATACTGTCAAGTGTCAAGTATGAACAAATAGTGAGTGCCTAGTAATACTGTCAAGTATCAATTCTTCAACTTAATTTTTTAACAAACTACTTAGGGGGTGTTTGGAACTAATTCTGCTTCTGCTTTCTCAGGGTAAATTAGAGCACCAGAATCACTTCTGCACTTTCACCCAAACACTCCAACTTCTGCTTCTGCTCCCTGAAGGAGCATAAGCAGTTTTAAGAATCAGATCCAAACACCCCCTTAGTCTCATGCTAATTAAATGAGCCCAAAAGATATCGTATCAAACACGTTAACTCTTACGAGACCAAAACAATCCATAATAAGATCATATCAGTAAGATTAAGAAGAGAAAAATCAAACAAGATCTTAATTTTCAAAGTAGATCGTAAATTTGGGTAAAGAGTAAACTTCCTTAGGGAGTAAAGAACAATGATCCATATTAATTTACTTTTCCAATCAATAGTTCAATACTACTACAAACAAACTATTAATATACAGAATATAGTGGATGAAGCTTTAGAAAGCATTTGACTCACAGTTTCTGCACATGATGTATACTGTGGTACCACTGAGCTGCTGCTGAGTCTATCTACTCCAAATTCCCAGTCTGGAACGTAGAGGCCATATAGTAAGCCCATGTACAATATACCAAGTACAAATGCAACCAGACTGCAAATTGATGTTCTGATTAAGCACATGAGATTGCAAAATAGGCCAAAAGAAATCTTTCTTCCACAGATCCTAAAACATATCATTACTGCCTCAAAGGAGCCACTGCTACCCACCCCCCTTAATCAAACTTCGTCATGCTTACAAAAATCAAATTTAGAAGTTCACAATTTGATACATATAAGTAGAGGATCAGGAAGAAGAAAGAAGTACTTCATACAAAAATCAAGCATGACCTGACTGAAAGCAAAGAAATGCTTACCCCTGCCACCAGTATCTCCTCACAAATTTCATTGGTGACTCAGCAGGAATGTTGCTAACAAGCCAAATCTCCAGTAATGATGAGAGGAGATATCCAATTGAAATCCTCTATACAAATTTTTTGAATTCGAACAATGAGAACAATAACCAGAGAAGGAATTTGTTTTATGTTATGTCACTTTCTCTTTAGTGCCTCTTCAAGAATTAGCTATGCTGGAATACCTGTAACACGCCCATCAACCTAATCCTCTCTATGTCAACTCCATAACTTAGATCGCCTCGCCCATGAAAGTACCCACCTAACCACATATAACCAGCAAACCATTTACTATGTAGTTATAAGCAAATACAAAAATAGTTTGTACACACCTCCTTCCTCTTCATGTGTGTGCATCTGTATATGGATGTTGGGGAACACAATGCTGCATACCTTGAAGAATGACACCAAAAAGAAAAAGCTTAACCGACCTCCACAAAACTTTCTTTGTTGCGGCTGATTTGCTAGAAACTTTCTGCATCAGATAGAAACAGCAGTACAAGAAAATACTAACAACAATCACTCCAATTGAGATGGACAAACTACAGATCATATAAATAAACGATACCATTAACGGTCGGTCATGAATACTATCATACCTTAAAAACGAGACTCACTGAAAGGCCCACAACAAAGAGGAAAAATGGCATCACAAAGTCCGCGAGTGTTACCCCAACCCAAGGAGAGTGATTTATAGTCGGAAATGCTTTTCCGGCGTCATCAACCAAAACCATCAGCTAACCAATCGCCAAATGGAGTCAAAATTTAAACACAAAAATGCTAAATTGAGAACTGGCGCTGAGCGAAAAAACATTAAAAAGTGTTAGGAGTTGACTTACGGCCACGGTGAGACCTCTAAAGACATCGATGGATACTAGACGTTCCTTTGAATCACTTGAAGGCAGAGGTATCGCTTCAGTAGTTAAAACGACGATTTCTGGCCCGTTTTTGAGCGAACCTACTGCCTGTTCTTCCGATGAACTCAGGATAAGCGGTGTTCGCTCATCGGAATCTCCTACCGCGGAAATCGACGACATATAGTTACCTGTCCGTAAACTAACCGACTACAAAGATTGACTACAGTTACCGGAGGTCAAATGGTTTCAGTTGTTTAATTTTGAAACTACAGTGAAGTGTTGAGCAATCAACACTTGCCATTTGGCATTACAATTCTTTTTTTCCTTAAAATTATTATCTTTTTTATATGGAGTATATAATTTAATTTTCACAAAAAATACATTAGATTCAATAATTTTTTATGATCTTTTCAAATGGTATCCATTTTGCATATAAACAAATTGAAAAAAAACCTTTTTCCTAAATCTTTTTTTAACTTGATTTTTTAAAAAATTTTATATCTGTAATATTAGTATCATATGAAAGATCATACAAAATTAAAAATATTGATATATTTTTTGAAAAAATTGAACCAAAAATAAAAAGTTCTAACAACTGCAAAATTTTAATGTATTGTCATGTCATGTGGCACCATTGGAGAGTGAGGGTGATGTTCACCCTCTTTTGAGGGGTGAACAAAATTGTTTTCACAATTCCGGGTGTACATATTTTGTCTTTAAATGGTGTATGAATAGACACACAAAAAAACATTCCCAAAAAATGTGTAAAAATGTGTATAAAATATTTTTTTCTTTCATGCAATTATTTGCTCCATTTATCAATACCATTCCATTTTGTAATCATTCTAATTTCTAACTTACTCTATATCTGATTTATTAAAAAACTTATTCATTTCATAGATACTTGTTTCATGTGTGTTTTACGGCTTTTGAAATCTAGTGTAGCCAGATTAAGTTTAATTTAGTTTAAACTTAATCAATTCAATTAAAAATATTCTTATTTCTTAATGGGAAAAAGCGTACGGACTTTTATATACATCTCGTGCAATGACCACATTTTATAATAAACATAACTTAATAATTGAATTAGAAGCTACTTTTTTTTTTGAATTGACTGAATTATAGATGATAATATAAGTTGTTAGTTGTTTTCGTATAATTGCTTCTTTATTTTATTGATATAATATATTTTAAATGTGAGACCATCTCGTCTATAAACAACTTTAAAGTTCGAACAACACTTATACAATAAAATTCAAAGTCAAAGTTTGAAGATTGAAGCCACATTGCTTGTTAGTAGGTGACTCCCTCGTAGCTTCATTTACAAGTTTTAGATTCAATACCTTCTTTATTTGCTATGTCATGTAGAACAAAAGGAGAAGAGAGAAACGAAAAAAAGAAAAATAAAGATGTGATAAAAGGACACAATTCATGCATTGATTAGTCATTTACCAAGACACAAATATAACAAAATGAGCTGGGGAACAAATACTACAAGAAAATGGCATGTTACCAACGAAGTTTCCAACAGATTTTACACCAAAATTCGTTGGAAAAGCTTTATTCCAACAGCTTTCCGACGAAAATTGTCCGTTGGTATACAATGGTTGGAAAATTTTGCGACGACCATTTCCAACGGAATTATTTAGGTTCCAGCGTCTTTCCAACGGAAAGAATTCGTTGGAAACGTCCAATAGATTTCCAACCAAATATTTCGTTGGAAATTTACTACGGCAACAGTCCTCTCATGGATGTAGGATTACCCTTGCCAATAGATCTCCAACAGATCATCTCGTCGAAAATCTAAAAAATTTGTGAAAAATCCAGCTTTGAATGCAGTTCGATTAATTTGCTATCGTCTCCCATTTTTTTGAATGCTTTCAGTGGATACCTATATAATTCACAACACACTACTTAAATTGCAACAAAAAAATATTGCATATCAACAAAACATCAAAATTAATATCCAAATTGCAAATGCATACAAACCAGAATTTAATAAACAAACTAGAGTAATTAGTTCATTACAACATCAGCAAAATACTCCAACCAGTTTGTTCACAACAAAATATAAAAACTGAAATACCACTACTACAAGAATGACATATTACGTCACCCCTTTAACGTCGGTTTTTGAAAAACCGTCATAATAAATCTTTTTTACGTCGGTTATGTTTAAGACCGACGTTGTACCTTTTCTAATATTATTATTTAATTCATTGACGGCGGGCTGCTAAACAACTGCCGTTATATGTGGGCGTGACTTTTTTCATTTTAACCTGTTACGTCAGTTATAGGAAAACGGTCGTAAAAAATGTATATGCTTTTCTTTTTTCTGGCTGAATTGGAACCCTTCTATTTCTTCTAACCCTTCTCCAAATCAAACCCTTCGTCTCTCTGCACGCAAACCCTTCGAACCCTTCTCCAAATTGGAACCCTTGCCGAATTGGAACCCTTCTATCATCTTCGTCTCTCTGCGCGCAAACCCTTCGAACCCTTCTCCAAACCAAATCTTCTTCGTCTCTGCACACTCATCTGCTAAATTGGTTCGATTTCCGACTATAACATAATGTTCTTCTTACATTCATAATCGGACGATCTAAGTACAAGATTGGGAAAATTGGTCGGTGAAAATCTCCTCAACGGTTATAGTGTGAATTCCGACAATCCTGTACTTCTAACCGCTCCAGGTCAACAATGACGGGCTTCATCACAGGTATGTTTTTTATTCTTTTTTGTTTTACCCATTTACTGGTTTCTATTGTGTTACAATTTCGTGGTCATCTCGTATCCATGTGCTAGGGCTAGAGATCATCAATTGTTCGCAGATGATAATTTATGGGAATAAAATGAAAGACAGTGGTAAAAATGGGAAGCTTGTCATTCAGCATCATAATTTTGGTGCCATTTAGAAACTTGGAGTACATGTAGGCTATAGTCCTTAACAATCAAGTATAATTTGTATTATATTAGAGGAGTTTAATGTATGTTATAGTTCTTAATAATCAAGTTTATAATATCATGTTTGACTGAGATTGTCATTTTTCTGAGTTCTTTTCTTCAACAATATAATTGCAGCATTTTTGGGGCAGGTATATCCCTAACATAAAATCAGTTTTTGCTTATTTTAGTTTTGTATTGATGTGTATCCTTGTAGTCTTCCAGAAAAAATTTGATTCTTTAATTTAACTAATATCGTGTTTTATCTTTTTTACCTATTTTTCCATGTGTAATTTTGTTTTATCAGGTTGGTGCTACAAGCTCAATGCTTACAACATTTTGTTTCTATTATCAGGTGCAATTCTAATTTGTTGTCTCTTATAGGTATATCTTAAGTACTTCAGGTATCGCAAAAAAAACGAACCCCTACACTTTTTTTTAGATTTTATGCCATATAACTAAGTTTCACTAAAGTATATTGTTTTGCATTGATTTTCAATTCAATCTCGTGCTATATATACATTCGTCTACTACTCACTACTTTAAGGGATATACAGTGAAGCTGAGGTGTCTACAATAGAATGATCATGTTTCTGCAGGGATGCTTGATGCTTGACAGGTCTGTAACAAGTCACTTTTGTAGCACTATAGTTCTTAGTAATCTTTTTGTAAACATTTTCACTATAGTGATATAAGAGTGTTTTTAATGTCCAAATATATAGCGAAAGTTGTTAGTTCAATTAGATTTGAAATACGACCACTTTGATCTACTGTATTTGTCTTTGAATTACAGTATACTCTGTTTCGTTTTTGTATCAATCTGAGGAGGTGCTTTTCGTTTTTGTATCAATCTCATACTATCTTCAAGTTGATTTGATCAATCAGCTTGTTGTGGTATCTAAGTAATTTACCATGCAGGCTTAGCCATATTGTGTGCTATGGATAAAAGATCTGGGAGTCCCTATTTTTGGGCCGCTTTCCATAAACTCGTCTTGTGGAATAGGTAAGTTTTGTCATATGGTCCTTGTTGCAGATCTTGTAGTGGCAGATAATAGAAATTTTGGACGTTGTTCTAATCTAAAGAAGTAAGAAGCTACCTGGATTCTCATAATTTATTTAGTAGAACAAAGAGATGGCTCAGATTTTAATTTTATGTTTGAATAATTGACTTTCCTTTCTAATCATCTTATTTTCTTTCAATTTCACCATGCGCCTGTGCGGAATGTAGTTCGTGTTTAATATTATAGAGACATACATCCTATAGAGACGAGTATGCTTCCCACGGATCTAGCTATAATGATTTTCCAGGAGGAACATCTAGGACTGGCGTACAGAGAGCATATGTTGATGATGGCTACGAGCAAAGGCTTGAAAGACCCCCTCCAGTTTACCGTGAAAGCCATGCTCCGGAATATGACTCTATATCCAGCTCAAAACGTTCATATACTGCAATGGTCTGGTTTTCATTTGCCTTTATAATAATGATGATTATTATTTGTGGGATACATTGGTCTTCTCTCTGTATATCACTTGATTTTACTGATGCAAAGAAATGTTTTTTTCTTGTAATGCAATAGCAAGATGATGTTCCTCCTCCTCGATATGTTGAGGTAGGAGTACGCTGTTCTCGTGCACGATTGGACTATGATTATGCAGGACGCAGTGCTTCTCAATATGGTGATTCCTATGGCGACATGTACACATACATATGTGCCACTCTGAAATAATTCAGTAGATAAAACTTTTTTGTAATAAGTATAGTACTTTGGTAAATTTATTTTGTAAAAAACTTCTGCAGACCTTGAAGGCCTCCTATTGGATATGGGGGTAGAAGTTCTATGTCTAGTCAAGATTCTCATGGACTCTATAGTAGTCTCCAGGGTATGGGGTATGACAGAGGTGTGTTGTGAACATTGTTTAACTCGTGTGAAATATTATTTCATTAATTTTTATATATTTGAGTTCTACTGGTTATGATGAGTTTTTCTTTTGGCAGAATCCTATAGTGGTAGTGATGTTGGTGGAATGTATGCTTCAGGCTATGGTGGTGATTATATGCCTCATGGCAGTGATGTAGGCTTTTACTTTATTTACCCCTTTCAAGCCTGTTACTTCAGTCATCCAAAAAAGTCATGTTTGTGTAATGTACAACCCTTTATTGTGAGCTCAATCCAGTTTGACAGTTATACAAGTTCTGTTTGGAGTACACTGAACTCTCTTTCAAAGTGGATTTAAAGGAATTGTACTTAACTATTAAATTGACTATTGAAACCCTTGTTCAGCTTAAACGGAGTTAGCTGGTGTTTCTTAACTATTATAGGGAGTTATCTACTGCAGGTTTGTTTTCTCAATTCATAGTTTGTATGTAAAGATATTTCTTATACGTTTGTTATAGTATTTGTAGTTTTCCGTGTATTAACATTTGTCTTATGTTATGAATTGAAATATGTTGTCAGTTCATTACTATGATGAGCTTAGGAAACTGTTGTATGTATGAACTAGTTTAAATTGGTATCTAGTTTCAAACTTTCATGGGCTGATGTACATATAGCTAGGTTTAGTTTATAGTTTTAGTTAGTTGGGTAGGGCTGATTATGTCCAAATATAATATGTCGGAATCTTTTAAGTTCAGTTCATTTAGAATAGAAATGTGATTAGCCATGACATATTTGTCTTTGAATTGCATTTTGCTCTGTATTTTAATGTCTTTTTTGTTCTATCTTAGACATTGAACTCGAAGTATATATTTTTTAGTTTTATACAGTTTGATATATTATACTATAGATATTAACTACTTCGAGGATCGGTTCGACTCTAAATAGTTTTATTCAACTAGTTTTATACACAATTTGATGTACTAGATAATTATTAACTATTTAACTAGTTTGATACTCAGTTTCACATACTAAACTGAGTATAGTGATTAATATAGTTTTATACTTCTAAATATAAGAAAGTTTTGCTTTGCTTAATTGTGCAGAGCAGATTGGTTGTGAACATGAGAGTTTGTAATTTTGTTGGGACTGTTCTTCTCTAGCATTTGGAATTGCAATTGAGAGGTTGAGGTTATGTCATGGGGCTGTTTTTTTCTAAGGATCAATTGCAGGTATGGTAAATGCAGGTTGGTGTTGGAGATGGGTTAACATTTTGTGATTTCTGGAGGGTTATTTGATATCTACTGCAGCACGTCCTCCTGTTTCCGCACTCACACAACTAGTTACTATAACTGGGTCTTGGCAGCTCTCTGGCTGCCGGTTTTGCTTCTTTCTTTACCCGGCCAAGTCCAAGTGATATACTTTTTTGTATGCCTTTGTGTCATACTTCTTAATTAGTTAATTAGCGTATTTAATTTTTGTTTCTCATTTTAGTAAAAGTTTTTATTTAAAAAAATAGATGCAAGTTACATGTTGATTAGTATATAGTTATAAGTACATGTGAGTTTAATTTCTTCAAATTGAAAGATTTTTAAAGTTCATTATTTATTCAGATTGAATGATTTTTGACAGTTCATTAATTCTTCAGATTGAATGATTAACTTGACTAATTTTTTCAGTTCACTAATATATGGAGGAACAAGAAAGTTCAGAGTTCAAGTTTGGAGAAGATTGTCTTTGATCATCTATGAGACCGGCGGGTGGTCTCTTGTGTTAGAAGTATGATATTGAATATTGATTTTTTTGAACTTTAAATTGTAATCGTAAGTAGTATTCTGCGTAGTATGTATTGAGCTGTTGCATTTTGTGTAATCTGTAAATTTTGAATGGATGGAACTAATTTTCAATTTTTTGAAGTGTGTAATTATAGTGCATGTATATTTTTTCTCTCTAAAATAGCTACTTCTAACGTCAGTTTTTTGAGAGAACTGACGTAATATGTATTTTTTTTATTTTTTTGAAAGTACATTCAACGTCGGTTTTGTTAAATAACCGACGTAACATGTATTTATTTTATTTTTTCGAAAATATATGTAACGTCGGTTTTGTATAAAACCGACGTGGAAGGTAACTTTTTACGTCGGTTATATAACCGACGTTATAGGGTCTAACCTATAACGTCTCTCACTCACTTACACGTCGGTTCTAGAACCGACGTTAAAAGTATAAAATAACCGACGTTATATGTTCCTTCTCTAGTAGTGTACAATTCTTCAATGTCCACCTGCATTGCCCCCTTCATTATCAACTAAAATATTGTTGATAAAGTTGTTGTTGTCCTCTTGAGACAAGTTGTGCGTGGCTAGGGGGATGAATTGAAATGCCGTTTGAGAAGGTAAGGGTTGTTGCACAGGCTGGGGTTGTTGCATCGACATGTAATGACCCGGGTAAACCGATGAATAGTGAGGCGCATTTTGAGAGTCGAAATTGTTAGCAAACGCAGTTGGAGGAAACGAGGATGCATGAGGAGGGCACATAAAACCGACATTAGTTGGGTCCATCTCCCGCATCTCCACTCTTTCCAGCCGCATCTTCCATGCATTGAAGTCCTCCACTTTTACATATTGTGCCTCTCCTTGAAAAGGGATAGTAGAGTTAACTGAACCTTTGGAAAGATATGTGTCGTCAAGGAAACTCGCCCCAAACACTTTTCCTTTTTATAGGTACAGTTTTAAAAAATATCGCATTCTCAATCCACGGTACCACCATGTTCTAGGGTGTTTTGGGTTTCACGATTCACCTCAGCCTCAACTTGTTCCTAGTAAAGACCATAAAATCAAGTTTAAAATGAAAGAATAACTTCTAAATGAAAATAATAAACTATATGACAAGTAATGTAACATAAAATTAAAAATTGATTTGATATTCTAGTACCTAAAAATGCGGCTAATGCAGCTCATAAATATGTTTACAACGAACCCATCTACACATTTCAATGTAGTAAGATATCATGTTTTTTAAAACAGAAAAGTACATAAATTCAATCATACCGCAATCTCGCGAGCTCGCGGACCACTCCATTCACCCGTTTCTTTTTTCGTGAATCCATCTTTAAGATTTTCTGTGGCCAGTGGCAGCCTTCCCAGATTAATTTCCTAATTACAAATATATCAAAATAACCAATATCACATCGGGTAAATTCATCAAAATAGTGAACTAAGAAGTAAAATCATACCAGTCGATGGGCTCTAACTCTTTGAGAAATTGACCCTCCACAATATGGTGAGCTCCTACACCCATTTGAAAAACTGTTTTTTTTTCTTTTGTTTTGACTTGCTCTTAAATTTCTCAGACTTCCATGTCACTAACATTCCATTCCAATCTTGTACAGATATCCATGGTATCCGTTTTTTGTTTTTTCGAGCTTCATGCACAACATCCTTCAACCATGTCGAACACCGTGTGTGAAAGGCACTCATAATAGCAACTTCTTCAGCAGGAGGAAAAGTATGGTACGACTACAAAAAACAGTTGAGCTATATGCAGGAAAACAGAAAAACTATAGACACATGTTACCTTAAACATGTTAAATCATCCATCATGAAATGGTTTTGGTACTTCTCCGTGGGATATCCAAGATCCCCTATAAGACCCTTCTAATATTCTTCTAATCTCTTTCAAACACTTTGTGCTACAAAATATAATATACGTATATAATTTCAATATAGAAAATAATTGTTATTAGTTATAAAGAAGTAATACTTATTAATATAATAAAAGGATAACCTGGATATGTCTTGAACAGTTATCAGTGTCTCCAGTACACTAGATGATCCATTAGTGCCGTCAGATCCAACTGCAGAGCCAAATGATTCTTGATGGTTGCCTTCAGGAGTTAAAGACCTGCCATCATTTATATTGTCTTGACCAATGATCTCATCATCATCCTCCTCCTCACCAGAAGTATATTCCTCGATTATTGGTTCACCATAAATTCGTCTAGGAGGACATTCACCCCTCCCTCCACCCCCTCCTCTTCCCACACTCCTACTGAATATGGACCGGCCTGACATTTTTCACTAGATAAAATAAAATGATTAGAATCACATGTACACTATTTGACATTTTTCACTAGATAAAATAAAATGATTAGAGTATAAATCTCACCTTTAAAACAATAACGGAGACTTGTAGTTTTATCCTACATTATTTCTAATATGGTTGTAGTGATTAGTAAAGAATAACATAGCAACATTTGTGTGTCATAGTTACATAGCAAAAAATAGTAATAAGTCATAGTGGACAGAATTTTATATCAAATTGACAGTCAAGGATCGATCCATAGTGACTAGTTACTAAAAATATGACACTTCAGAGCAAAACAATATTGAACATAACTTACAGTTTAAGAAACACTGTAAATATTAAAGCACATAATATCTAAGTTGCACCCATATCTAGAATGCACATATATCAAATTACAATATCTAGACTGCTATATATTCAGGCAAATTCACTCAAGTCTGATGCAACATAATATGTATGCTACACCCATAATGGCTATTTGAAACATCATAGAGGACAAAATTTAACCTAAATTTACCAGAGAGGGTCAACTTAAAAGCAAAGATATGTAAAAGGATCTTTTATACAGCAGAAGCATGAATGACACCTTAGGAACCCACTTCCCAAAAAGATACCCAATGCCTTTATTCTCAATGGCAAAAGTAGAAATTCAGTTTGACAAACCCGTTTCTTATAAAATCAAATTAGAATATGCAGTTGACTTTCAATAATAGTTACAAATGTCCTAACAGTTAAAATTCCTCAATAGGTACTCATGTTGAAAAACATTTCACATTTGCACAAGTAGTGAAGAGTGCCGGACAAGAATACTCACCTGGAGGTTTTCGGAGAGCTGACCGCTTTACCGTTAAGGAGAATGCTCGCCGCCTTAGGGGTTTGGAGAATGTTGGCCGCCTTATGTTTTTGGAGAGAGCTGCCCGCCTTAGGGTTTTGGAGAGAGTTGGCCTCGTTTGATTTTAGGTGTGGAATATACCACGATTAAATATCGACTAAATAAGTTCTAAATTTTGGAGAGAGTTGGCCTCGTTTAATTTCTTGGGACAGTGTTGTCACGGGGTAAATATCGACTAAATAAGTTCAACCACCGATTAACTTCATCTTGTGGAGCATTAAAATCTGAATTTATACTCAACACTTCATAAATGAATTGTAATTGAGACCCTTCACTACATCCTTCATATAAAGGTTGATCGGAAGCTCGCAACACATTCTGGAAGTGATATGCCAAGTATGATACGTCATTCATTTTTGGCGATTCATCTCCTTCTACTTGTGCATTAGATGAATCAAAGTTTGTGGAGTTTGTTGGCACTTGTCCACCAAAAATATCTTCTAGCATCCTTTGATCCCACGACATCACATCGTGACTTTCAAATTGTGATCCATGAACATTTTCACCAGTATATCCTTGAACATTTTCACTAGTATATTCATAGGACTGTGTTTGTGAATCTACAAAAGAGGAATCTTGCAATAACTCATCACCATGAGAAGTCCAACATTCGTAAGCTTCAACAAATCCATGCCTATAAAGAGGAAGCTTTACTGTTTCAATATCACAAAAGCGTCGGTTTGCACATTTCCGACATGGGCATCGAATTTCTTCTCCACTAATAAACTCATGTTGAGCACAAGCAAATTGAACAAAACTCTCAACTCCATTTATAAATTCAACAGAAACGTTTTCTGTAAATGGATAATACCTCTTGTACATCCAACTTCTATCCACCCCATTCATTCTAAAAACATATGATGTAAACAAACATTGAAAATGTAATGTTGGTTCACAAAAGATGAAAAAAGATGAATGAAGTTTACTAGGAAGTACGCTATTTTGATATAAAGAGAACTAAACCTCCGACGCAGTTTAAAAATTACGTAGTGAAGAGGAATGAATACATTTTCCAACGGCTTTCCAACAGATTTCCGACATAACTTACGAGTAATATTTCCAATGTATTTCCAACGATCCCCCAACAGATTTCCTACGAACTTCCGACGGATTTCCAACCAACAATATCTATGCATAAAGTAAACAATTTCCAACGGAATTGCAGCGGATTTCCAACGGCGAAGTCGGAAATTAGTTGGAAATCCATTGCAAACTTTCCAACGAAAAAATCTGCTGGAAAATGGCCGTTGCAAATGGGGTGTTTTCTTGTAGTGATAAACATGTAAAAGGAAAAATTGATTATTGAAGTTGATTTTTAGTTTGAAAGAATAAAAAAGAAGAGAGTATTACCCGAAATAAGACTAAAAAGGTTTGAAAATCCAAAATATATAGGACTGTCATGTTTTTATTCCCAAAATAGGACTAATTACTGTCATGTTTTGGTAGTACCAGCCTTCAAACATGGCAGTATTTTCTAAACTTGACACTAATTACTCCTATTTTGGAATAAAAACATGATAGTCCTATTTTGTAATTTTCAAACTGTTTTAGTCTTATTTCGCGAACTTTTCCAAAAAAGAATGGCATAATAAAAAATGTTAGTTTCATTTCTCTCATCCAATTCAAGAGAGAATAAAATGCATCGGGTTGAACTTGGTTCTTTGGTACGTGCATGAAGAGTTGTCGTGTTCATTTAATTTGGATTTTTATACTTATATTATTGAGAACATATCATAAAAATTCATATTAAAAAAAAACTATGAATTTGACACTATCGTGAAAAAGTTATAAGTTGGTGCCGTAAACTTATGGCCATTACAAATTAAAAACTTAACGTGAGACGGGAGATGTTACTCAATTTTGGATTTCTTTTGTCTACTACAAATATTAGACATAGTTTGAAATTTGAACTTCTCAATTTGGTCTCTTACATTACAACGGATGAATGTCTTGTAGAGGTGGTTGGATATTATGTATTGTGAAATAAAATGTAATTTGACTTTCGTTATTTTGATTATTACATAATCTAGAACGAGAACTTAAAAGAAACAAATTTGATTAAAAATTGATTGATAAGTCCTATTAACTCAATGTGAGTCTCTATTAAATCGGGTAATAATATTAGAATTGATGAAAGAACGAGCTCTAGTCTCTAGGCAATGTTCTTTGGATCTTTCTATATCTTAAAATTGTACAATTCATTTTACAATTTCATGTTAATGAAGCAATTCAATTATAAGTAAAATTATAAACTCATAAAATACTAAAATAGATCGAAACTGTCAGATTCATAAAAAATTACAGTAAAATCCTAATGACTCTTTTAGTGAAAATGGATTTAAATCATTAAAAAATAAATATGAGTATTATATTATATTTTGATATATGAGTCTAGTAGTGGTGAAATCCTAATGCCTTTTTTGTGATTTGCATATTTTGCATGTTTATTGTTCTCTTCATTTACATTATAAAAATAGTTTATAAATCTTAGCCCCGACCTCGAATGTGTAGTTTAAAGTAGGGTGAACAAAAACCAGAAAACTAAAGTCAACCAACACCAAACCAATCAAAATAAAACAGAATGAAACCGAAACCAACTAAACTAGACTAACAGACTAACCCACCAATGTTTCGATAAACGATTTATACACCTAGTTTAAAAGCGGATTGATATCGGCCAATAAAATCGACAAAAATGTGTTAAAATCAATCGAAACTGATAAAAATCCATCATAATTAACCAAACAATATACGATCCTAACCGCTGGTTTAGAATCGAGCTAGAACTGGTACTACAAGGATCTTATTGTGAGCCATAGAGGTTCTGGTTCGAATCACGAATGGGTATATAATTAAGGTTGTGAGTGTTTGTGTCTTCCTGACCACCTAAGGTTTTCCGCAACCCAAGAGTGAAAAACCCATCTTTGAACTTTTCACCCCCTAGAAAATGCTCCAATCCAAAGTATTGATGGGTCCTAAAGTGTATTGGAGGCATCCTTGACACTACAACAAAGTATAGTTATTGTAGCATGTTCAAAATGTCGTCATAAGTGCTGACAAATGTAATATTTTTAGTATGTTGCATCAAACAAGTGTTACTATAGATATATTGTAACAATTTATCATTTAATCACAATGTTACAATTGATATTATACTGTAACAATTTTTATAGTGTTATATAATAGATGTTACAATAGACACTTTTTGTAGTAGTGGGTAAGGTGAGAATTAAATAGGATATTAAGTGAATAGTTAATCAAAATGTGGTGGGGGTGGGGTGGGGGTGGGGGGGTGACGGCGTGTAAGAGTTTAAGTGGCGCCATTTATAAAATAAATTCTAATTATATTTAAAGTGTCATAATTTTTTTTTATACTCTAATTTTTATACAAAAAATATCAAAATTCATAATTTGTAATGATCTTTCATATTATTTCAATATTGAATATTTAAAATAAAAATCTTTTTATTGTTGGGGATTTTCAAGTACTAAAATATATAGATAGTATATCAGAACTAAAATATTTTTCCTTTTATATTCTCGTAATCAATATTGTGAGTTTTTTTTATTGTTTATTTAAATTTGACAAGTTTGTGTTTCAATTTATTCATCTTTATAACCAACAAGTACATACTATTAAAATTTAAAAATAATAACACAATCACATACGGAGTAGTAAATAACGTGGTTGTATATAGTACGTGTATATAGTACGTACTACGTGGTAGTACATACGGAGTATTTTGATTGGAAACTGCAATTTAGGTTGTTTTTACTTGCACTGTAATTCATACCAGACCAGATCAGACCAAACCATACTAGACCAGATCAGATCAGACTAAAACAGACCAGATCAGACCATATTATTATTATTATTATTATTATTATTATTATTATTATTATTATTATTATTATTATTATTATTATTATTATTATTATTATTATTATTATTGTTATTGTTATTGTTATCATCATCATCATCATCATCATCATCATCATCATCATCATCATCATCATCATCATCATCATCATCATCATCATCATCATCATCATCATCATCATTGTTGTTGTTGTTGTTGTTATTATTATTATTATTATTATTATTATTATTATTGTTATTATTATTATTATATTATTATTATTATTATTATTATTATTATTAAGGGTGTGCACCGGTTCAATACCGGACCGGACCGGACCGGACCGGATATCATTCTGGTTCGATCCGGATCCAGTTTTTCCGGTCCGGTTCAGTCCGGTTTTGTGGTTTAAACCGGATAGTGCACACCCCTAATTATTATTATTATCATTGTTCTTATTATTATTATATTTATAATTATTATTGTTGTTGTTATTATTGTTATTATTATTTGTAATTATAAATGAATAAAATATAATTATTTATGGATTATAATATATATAAAAAATAAAATCTTTATGCAAATATATAAAAAATAAAATTTCAGACCAGACCAGACCAAAAGAGACCAGACCAGACCAGCAAATTACAGTCCAAGTGAAAACATCCTTATTTGAAATTAAACTCAAGTGTGTGTATTTTAATACATACGAAAAAATTGTTTCTTAGATCGATGTGTTTGATCTCTTAAATAATTCTTCCTTCGTTCCTAAAAACTTTGCCGATTTTCCTTGTTTCAAATGTTCGCTGATTTTGTCACTTTCTCGTTTAAATAGAGAATTTGTGGTTTTAGTTAATTGCGCAAACTTCAATCATACGTTTTTCTTAATTAATTCTTATGTCGGTCAAACTTATCAAGGTTTTAAAGAACAACGAAAGTAATTATTGGTAAAAGGGAAATTGTCACACAATTGATGCTTAATAACAAAAGTAAGGATTTATAAATTTACTTTAAAAAATGTACTACCTCCGTTCTAAATAAAACTTCCATTTCGACTGGGCACACAGTTTAAGATAATGAGTATTGTGTGGTGTAAAGTTGTGTAGAAGAGAGAGAAATGTGTAAGAAATATTGTGAACCACAAAGACTCTAACAAAATGGGAAAGTGAAAGTTTTAATTG